ATATAACAATTATAACAATTTTTAAGACTGCAGAAATATGTTAATTCAGTATACACATTATCCCACTGATGACTGACCATAAATGCGTTTTCAACATAAAGTTAAGTGGTTTTCATTACCCATTTTACTCTTAGTAATTTAATAATTTAATAAATTTCATAATTTAAAAGTTTAGTGCAGAAGTATCGAATCGGTATCGATATCGACGATACTGCCTTGAAAAATATCGGTATCGTATCGAAAACAAAATAAGGGGTATCGCCCATCCCTAGCCTCAACCCCTACTGATTTGAAATCCAACAATCCAATAATTCCTAGATTTATTTTCAGAATTTCCATGACTCGCACAGGCACATGAAGTCACCAGTGCATCAGGAAAGCTCGGAATATGGAAAAGTTTACATTCAGGTCATTACACTGATTTTGTTATGAGAAAAGGTGATCTGAACACAGATGTATAAGTTGTGGCATTACTTTACTCTGGCATTACATGGCTTGCCCACCCACATCCCTATGATCCCAATATAAATTATATTACTATAATTAAAAATCTTATGAACTTATGTGATTTCTTTAGATAAAATACTTAATGAAATATAGTAATATGTGGGTAACAGAGAAATTATAACTACAGTACAATCAGCTTCAAGCTACAACACTTTTACTTAAAAGTCACTATCAATCACCATTGAGTGTTTGTAAAAACTTCTGGCTGTTATCCAGTGTATATTTTGGTTAAATGATGAGGCAGAAATATATTGTTAGTAACATTTTAGAAGAATTTTATGGGGAAGATACACAATTACATCTTCTGTGTGGCGTGAAGGAAAAGTAATGTAACTAGCAGTGCAACTAATTACTGTTGCCAGATAGTAATAAGTAAAGTAATAATATTACTTTTGAAATGAGTAACTAGTAACGAGTAATAAATCATTTTTAGAGTAACAAGCCCAAAATTGGTTGGCATTATTGGAACTGCATTGTCATGGTTCAAATCTTACTTATCTGACTGTCATCAATTAGTAGCAGTGAATGATGAGGTATCATATGATGAGGTATCAATGATGAGGTATCATACAGTATGGAGTACCACAAGGCTCAGTACTAGGACCGCTGCTTTTCACGTTTTTCATGTTACCCTTGGGAAATGTCATCAAGAAACATGGTGTTATCTTTCACTGTTATGCTGATGGTACTCATCTCTATATTTCTTTGCGGCCTGATGAAACATACCAATTCAAAAAACTAATGGAATGCATAGTTGATATAAAAAACTGGATGACTAGTAATTTCCTAATGCTAAATTAAGAAAAAAAACAAAAACAAAAAAAACGGTTTTAAGAGGTTTTAACTATTGGACCAAAAACCTCTGCATGTAATCACCTAAAACACTGTCTAACACTTGATGGCTGCTCTGTTAATTCTTTGTCACCAGTTAGGAACCTAGGTGTGCTATTTGATAGCAGTCTTTCCTTTGAAAACCATGTTTCTAGCATTTGTGAAACCACATTTTTCCATCTTAAAAATATATCTAAATCTATGCTCTCAATGTCAAACGCAGAAACGTTAGTTCATGCGTTCATGACCTCAGGGTTTGATTATTGTAATGCTTTATTGGGTGGTTGCTCTTCATGTGTAATAAACAAAACCAGCTGGTCCAAAATGCGGCAGCATTTCTTACTAGAACCACGAAGTATGACCATATTAGCCTGGTTCTGTCAACTCTGCACTGGCTCCCTATTGAACATCGAATGCATTTTAAATTCTTGCTAATTACTTATAAAGTCCTGAATGGTTTAGCTCCTCAGTAATTGAGCGAGCTCATATTGCATTGTTGTCCTTCACGTCTGTGCTATCTCAAAACTAATTTGATAATACCTAGAAGATCAAAATCAACTGCGGGTGGCAGATCCTTTTCCTATTTAGCACCCAAACTGTGGAACAATCTACCTAGCATTGTTCGGGAGGCAGACACACTCTGTCAGTTTAAATCTATATTAAAGACTCATCTCTGTGGGAGACAGTTGCACCCCTATATTAATCGAGCGTCAAACTACTCCCAGAAAAGTTGTCCTCTGAACAGGAGAAAGCATAATTTTCTTTGAGTTTAGTCTTAACCCCAACCGCTTTATTTGGGTTGAGGACGGCATTTCGATGTCGAACCACCATCTCTTGACACTGAGCTAAAAATGGACAGTCATTAATGTACAGTAGTTGAGTACATGGATGCCCTGAAGTTGCAAAGGAACCAGTGCTGCATCCATGCACTTCGTAAGGGAATAGTGCAAGGCTGAAAGGAAGAACCCGATATTTGTTCTACTTCGGCCCTGAACGTGAACCTCAGGTAGTTCCTGTGTTGAGGAAGTATGGATATGTGGAAGTATGCATCCCTCACATCAATCATGACAAACCATTCCTCAAATCTGATTCGGCTCACAATAAGAGGGATGGTCAACATTTTGAACCTGCATCTCCTCAGTGTATGATCTCACCAGTGTAGTGTAGATCCATGATCCCCATCCTTCTTCGGAACTATGAAGTACTGGCTGTAGAAGCTGGAATCTCTCTCAGGAGGAGAAACACGTTCTATGCCTCGCAGACGTCAGACCCCACAAGGGGCATGAGCCTGGCCGCTCTCATCAAAACTGGTCAATCAATAAGAACACAGATCATGTATGTCCTTGCGTGTGATGTAGCATGGGCAGGGAGACACACAC